ACTCCCACTTGCTTATTAATAATAAACCAATCCAACAACATTGTCTAAATGCCCCAAATATTATCTATAAAACTAAAATAATAAACAATCTACTTCAAACCCTAACATACAGGCACGATGAGGGTTGACGATAACCGAAAACCCTCGGCAAAATACGAAGAACTAGGGTCTTATTTCAACAACTTAGAGCCAAAAAAAAAATACTTGCGAGAAAGCAAAAAACAGACAGATAAAAAGATTATTAAACGGAAAAATGCCTTAATAATGACATGCTGCCAATATATATATATATATATATATATATATATATATATATATAAAGAGAGAGAGAGAGGTAGCGAGGAGGAGGAGTGGACGAGATATAAAAAGAATAAGAGAAATACGAGGAAGAGAGAGAGAGGGGGGGAAGAAGGCAATTCATCAGAACTGAAAACTTAATGATGCACAGACCCACCCACACAAACACACATACATGTATATATATATATATATATGTGTGTGTGCGTGTGTGCGCACGCGCGTATGTTTGCGTATATAGACAGTGAGAGAGTGAGGATGATAATGAATAAGGGACAGACACATAAGAACAGTGAAATGACACAATACATATACATATATACATACATATATACAGTGTCTTGCAAAAGTCTACACATCCTTTGAAAATGTATATATTTTGTATAATTTAACAGGGAACAAAACAATTTTTCAATTCCAATGATTGTTAAATAATAAGCAGATCCATCACACTTTCCTTTGATATAAAAATTACATTTGAAAAATTTCACACTGCTTTTTAAAATCCTATAACTTAGATAAATGTATTTACAAAAGTCTACACCCCTCCAGATATATTTTACTGTGTTATCACATAGTTTATCACTGATGTATAGAATCCAGAGCAATCAAAAGTGACATGTGTGTTCTACCATAACAAACAAACTTGGTCAATGTATTATTTTGCTATATAAGGTGATTTAACTGCCTACAAAATCATCCACCACATGGTTTCTTGGTATGTTTGGTCTTTGGACTCTGACTGTAAACACAAGGTGTCCAACTCGGGAAAGAAAATGGGCAAGCCTATGTCTCAGGAACTTAAAAACCTTATTATTCAAAAGTACAATGAAAATAATGGCTATAAAAAGATTGCAAAAACTTGAGAATTGCCCCTAAGCACTGTTAAAACTGTAGTTAAGAAGTGGTTAGTGCATAAAATCACTGCTACCCTACCAAGATCTGGGAGACTGAGCAAACTTACCAGAAGCGCAAAATCAAAACTGTTCCGGGGTGCAACCTCCAACCATAGTGCAACACTGGAAGAGTTGAAAGCTTCAGTTTCCAGGACTGGGACAGATGTCCATGCATCTACAATTTCCAGAGTATTGAAACGGTCTGACCTGCAGGGGAAGGTAGCTAGAAACAAAGGCCTTTCTGAAGCCTATGCACAAGCAAGCTAGGATAAACTTTGCCAAAAGTGACAGCAATGATTCCATGATTATGTGGCGAAAGATTTTATGGTCAGATGAGACCAAAGTCGAATTAATTGAAAAAAATACGAAACGCTACGTTTGGAAGAAAAAAAGGCACTGCTCACCAACCTCATTACACCGTTACCATTGTAAAGCATGACGGTGGCTCGGTCATGCTTTGGGACTGTTTTTCACCTGCAGGGCCTGGAGAGGTGGTTATCATCCAAGTTGCAATGAACAATGTCAAGTACCAAGAAATATTGGAAGCAAATCTGCTGAAGTCTGCCAGAGCTCTGCGCTTGAGCCGCAATTTCAAGTTTCAACAAAATAACGACCCCAAGCATGTGTCAAAAGGCACTAAAGCTTGCTAAGCTAGCAAGAAAATCACAGTTTTGGAGTGGCCCAGTCAGTCTCCAGACCTCAATCCTATAGAAAATCTATGGCGAGATCTAAAACTGGCTGTGCACCGACGTTTCCTATCCAATCTGACACAGCTCGAGAAGTTCTGCCATGAAGAATGGCAAAAACTGTCAGCAGACCCCTGCAGCAAGATCATGGAAGGCTACCCGAGGCGTCTGCAGGCTGTAATTGACGCAGCAGGATCATCCATAAAGTACTAACTGAAGACATTCCAAAGTGGGTGTAGACTTTTGCAAAAACATTTTTCAAAATTATCTTTGTTTAAGAATAAGTTTTAAATTTTGTCAAATGTATTTTTGCATTAAATAAAAGTGTGATGGATCTGCTTATGAAATAAATTATTGGAGTTTAAAATATTAATTGTTCATATCGAAAAAAAAAAATGCATCCAGTTTTCAAGGGGTGTAGACTTTTGAAATGCATATATATATATATATATATATATATATATATATATATATATATATATATATATATATATTGTGCTATTTCACATTATATATATAGACAGAGATACAGAGATAGTGAGAGTTCGATCTTCACTCTATGGTCCAAACTTTCTACTATGTGTAAAATCTAAAAACCAGAGAGAGTGAGAGAGAGAATGAGAGAGAGTGAGAGAGGGGGTGGAGACGGAATGAAGGTGGAGGACGAGATATAAAGTGAATAATAGAGATATAAAGAAGAGAGAGAGGGGGAGAGTGGGAGATCGTGATATAAAATGAATAAGGTTAATAGAAGGAAGAGAGAGAGAGTGGAAAGAGAGAGAGAGGACAGGATATATAGTGATTAAGAGAAATAGGATGAAAAGAGAGATAGAGAAAGAGAGAGAGAGGGAGAGAAATAGAAGGAAGAGAGAGAGAGAAAAAAGAGGGGGAGGAGGAAGAAAAATATCAGAATTGAAATAATTAATACGAGAATAGTCAAAAGACTGATTGCCTAAAATTTCACTGATCGATAACCTTTCCAAAATCTCGTCAAACATCGGAATTTCTTTCTGGGATTGCCTCTTAGTTGAATGCACATAATCCTCAGCACCCGTTCCTGCATATATATATATATATATATATATATATATATAGAGAGAGAGAGAGAGAGAGAGAGATCCACAGATAGACTTTTTCACTGTAAGACAGCTCATCAATGTGGCTAGACATCCGATTGTTTCAAGATCGAAAGCTGACCGATTTGACATTAGCCAGAGACTCTATCCACAGACCATCGTCGCACGGCAAAGAGAAAGGGAAATGTTAACGTTTTTACTACACGAAAGAGCGTCAGTGGCTAGGAGAGCTCGATTCTAGTTGAAGAGCATTGCATTAGCAGCAATATGGATTCTCCCGTGGCGACCAGCAGATGGGACTTCATCAAATTCTTAGTTTTACTGTTCAACACTCACATGGGAATTGCTGGCCTGTGTCTTGAAATGCGCTCTCACCATTGTAGCAGGCTTGTTACCGTCTAAGGCTATTAGGACCCAGTCTGATTCTGCTATTTAACCATAGCTAGGGAGAGAAGAGATGGATTTACATCTTTCCCAAGGGTGTTTACACGTAAGTGAATTTAATGAACTTGACTGGAATTTGAACTCGGCTCATCGATTTATCATTCCTTACCATTATCCGTTACACCACCCTCTCATATAAGGTTATAGCACCAGTAATTCCCAAGCGGTCACTGTTTATCATACTTAACGTGTTTTAAATGATATGGACATAATACCACCACGACTACTACTACTACTAATAATAATAATGATAATAGACAATGTGTATATATAGAGAGAGAGAAAGAGAGAGATAGAGAGAGAGAGAAAGAGAAACTGTCAATGAAAGAGATAGATAAATAGATAGATAGATAGAGAGAGAGACTGTCAGTGAGAGAGTGAGAGAGAAAGAGAGAGATAGAGAGAGACTATCAGTGAAAGAGATAGATAGATAAATAGATAGACAGATAGAGAGAGAAAGAGCAAAAGAGAAAGAGAAACTGTCAGTGAAAGAGTGAGATGAGGAGAGTGAAATAGAGAGACTGTCAGTTAGAGTGAGAGAGATTGTCAGTGAGAGAGAAAGTGAAGCAGAGAAAGACAGAGACTGTCAGTGAATGAGAGAGAAAGTGAGTGACTGTCAGTGAGAGATAGAGAAAGAGAGAGACTGTCAGTGGTAGAGAGAAAGAAAGAGAGAGACTGTCAGTGATAGAGAGAAAGAAAAATGAGAGACTGACAGTGAAAGTTATATAGAGAGAGAGGGAAAGAGGAAGACACTCAGTAAGAGTGTGAGAGACTGCCAGTGAGAGAGACTGTCAGTGAGAGAGACTGTCAGTGAGAGAGAGAGAGAGAGAGAGAGAGAGAGAGAGAGAGAGAGAGAGAATATGATGGAGATTGTGAATTACAAATTAGAATTCTAAGCGAAATAATACGATACTGGAATGACTATGCTTTATCCGGTTTTGTATAAATTCACTCAAAAATAGGAAAAAACATTCGGAAATATTCCGCCATTTGTCTGAGCTAGCTAGAAACCCAACTTAAGGAAACAGTCCCCGCCTGTCCCATGACAAATGGCGATTTGCACAACAGGCCTGATGAAGGTCAAACATGCCAATGGCCGAAAGGTCGCGGAGGAAGACATCAACAAATAAAAAAAAAAATGAAATAATAGGTAATCAAGTCCAAACAATTATTCTCGTGAGATTTCCCACGAGAAGGCAAAATCGTTCCTACGTTAAGTAAATCGAGTAGCAAAATGCAGGGAAAGGCTTCGTAGCTTTCGAATTTTCGTGAAAAACGGAGAGAAACTATGTGTAGACCCCTATTCACGGTCTTATAATGCGCCGGTAACGAGCTAGACGAGATATCGTGGCACAATGATGACCTTCCGGGTGATTCTGTAGTTTGGTTAAGGAGATGGTCAATAACACTAATGTCATGAAAAAAAACATCGTTTATTTTGACCCTGGCATTGGGCAGAATGTATTCTCAAGCTAACCTGACCTGTGGCTCTTTCGTATCGAGACTTGATACCACGACGCAGTTGGAAAGTTTATGTTACTCTCGATAGGCATTCGATTCAGCGAATCATATTTCCGAATTCTTCGGGAGTTGTTCTAGTAATGTTCTTCGTTTCTTTCTATCTTTCTGTCTTTCTTTCTTTTTTCTTTCATTCTTTCTTTATTTCTTTTGATTCTTTCTTTATTTCCTATTATTTCGAAATCTTTCTCTATGTTTAATTCTTTCGTTTACCTTCTAGCAATATCTTCTTTTCTTTCTCAAAACGTTCTGATTTGTTTTTTTATTTTTTTTGTTTTCTTTCGTTTGGATTCGTAACTTTTTGTTCGAGCCGGAATTTTTTTACATTCTTCCTTCCCTCTATTTAATTACCAGCTTTGTTTTTCTTTCATTTTTCATTCACTCATTCATTCATCATTTCTTTCTTTCTTTCTTTCTTTCTTTCTTTCTTTCTTTCTTTCTTTCTTTCTTTCTAACCCGAACATTTTTCAAGTATTTATTTTTATCATTCGCGCTCATTTTTTTTTCTTTTATCATTTTGCTTCGTACCAAACATTCTTTCTTTCTGTTTTTGTTTGTTTGATGGTTCTTTCTTTTTTCTTTCTTTTTCTTTCTGTCTTTCTTTTCTTCTTTCTTTCTTTTTTGTTTGTTTGTTTGTTATTTCTTTCTTTGTTTCTTTCTTTTTTCAATCCCGAACATTTTTCAAGTATTTATTTTTATCATTCGTGCTCATTTTTCATACTTTCTTTTACGATTTTATTTCGTTCCAAACATTTCTTTCTTTCTTTCTTTCTTTCTTTCTTTCTTTCTTTCTTTCTTTCTTTCTTTTTCTTTCTTTCTTTTCTGCTATTTGGAAATGTTTCTCTATCTTTTATTCTTTCATTTACCTTTCCACAATATCTTCTTTCTTTTATATGATTTCTTTCTTTCTTTTTTTTTTTGTATTCATTCGTTTTTTTCATTCATTCATTCATTCTTTCTATTTATTCTTTCTTTATTTTCTACTATTTCTAAATGTTTTTCTATCTTTGATACTATCGTTTACGTTTCCATAAATACCTTCTTTTCTTCGGAAAACTTTCTGGTTTCCTTCTTTTCTTGTATTCTTTCGTTTTAATTCTTGCCTTTTCGAACCGAAATTGTTTTACATTTTTTAAGGATTTCTTTTATCATTTGCGTTCATTTTTGATTTTTTTTTTTTACTTTTACAGTTGACTTTCTTCAAAATTTTTCTTTCTTTCTTTCTTTCTAATCTGAACATTTTTCAAGTATTTATTTTTATCTTTAGCGCTCATTATTTAAAATTCTGTCTTTTATCATTTTGCTTCGTTCCAAATGTTCTTTCTTTCTTTTTTTGTTTGTTTGATGTTTGTTTGTTTCTTTCTTTCTTTCTTTTTTCTTTCTTTCTTTCTTTCTTTCTTTCTTTCTTTCTTTCTTTCTTTCTTCAAACCCGAACATTTTTCAATCATTTATTTTTATTATTCGCGCTCATTTTTCATTCATTCTTTTACGATTTTATTTCGTTCCAGACATTTCTTTCTTTCTTTCTTTCTTTCTTTCTTTCTTTCTTTCTTTCTTTCTTTCTTTCTTTCCCCCCTCTCCGTTTTTTCACATATTTTTTTTTATATTTAGTTTTTGTTCTCTTTTCTTACCACAGTTATTTCTCCCCACGCTATATTTTTTCAAGTATTTTTATGATTTGCCCTCATGTTTGCTTCTTCCTTTTTTCCATTTTCCTTCGTTCTAAAGTTTTCTTTCTTTTTTTCCCTTATAGATAATTTTTCCTCCATTATTTTACTTCTGTTTTCCTCCTAGCTTCTTTTTTGTTCTTGCATTCCTTCTATAACCGTTTTTTCCCTACATTCTCAATTTAATTCTCGCCTCTCCAAGAACGCACTCATTCTTAATGTGTTTCTCTATGCAAATGTACACGTGCTTGCAATTTCACGTCCCGTAAATTATTTATTTGTTCTGTACCCGTTTTCAATTCATTAAATTTGAAAACCTCGTATGAGACAAGTTTAAGAATTGCAAATGAAGCGACTCAGTGATAAATCATGCAGAGAACATTTACAAAAATATGTATCAAGTTAAATCATGCAAACAACGATGATTTTTCAAAGAATATTTAGACAAGAGACTTAATAATATTTAATTAGTAATGAATAACCAAATATCGTTGTTTTTAATATTCATTTCTTTTGTAATTAGAATTTCATCTGCTATATTTCATCCTATAGTCAGCAGGGAACTAGAATATCAAACTGTGTTGTTTGAGTGTTATATATAATCTTTGGTTGCTCGTTTTGCAAGTACAAACATCTGCGATGGTGGCTAGCCAATTCCTGGCGTGTTTAGTGTGTAAATTACTCTTTCGAGTAGTTTCTAACACATTACTTATCATCTCTCAGTTACGTCTCTGTCTTTGGGCAGAGTGAACTCAGGGGCGACTCCGTCAAAGGACAGAGTCGCAACTGAGGAAAATTATACTGAGTGGATGTCGGCCCCGGGGAACAGCTGCCCGTGGCCGCACCTTCTCATTGCACTAGAGAGAAGGATCGGTGTACGCATCGAGGCCAGCGCAGCCGACGGTTGCGGGAGCTCGGAAAATTTTTGTTCCTTGCCCGGGTGTACGCGCTCGGGCTCCCCACATTAAACCAAACTTGTGTCGCAACCTGAATTCTTTGATGAGTAAATATAAAATCCTGGCGAATTCTCAAGCACATTGGTGTTTTTAGACACCTACATTTGCTAACATTTTTTATACTGCAAAAGTACAGAAAGGACCGGTTTCTTTCTTTTTCTCTCTCTCTCTCTCTCTCTCTGTGCGTGTTTGTGTGTGTGTGTACGTGTATGTGTGTGTGTGTGTGTGTGAGAGAGAGAGAGAGAGAGAGAGAGAGAGAGAGAGAGAGAGAAAGAGCTCATAATCTGGTAAGATCAGTAGTTGAACGAAACTAATACAATGGCGATGACCAGGCTCCACAAGTTAGTAAAGTAAAAGTAAAATATATATATATATATATATATATATATATATATATATGTTTCATTAAATAATATAGACAAGTGCTTTCGCCTTACATTTGACCTAACCTAAACAAAATCAACTATGGAATCTCTACAAATATCCTTAAATGTCTATAATTAGTAACAGAAGCCATTGGTTTATACCAAAGGATTCCCGTACTTAATACTTCACGAATTCACTCTTGAGTGCTTATGGGTGACAGCATGAGCTGCAGTGCGATTTTCGCTTCTAGCGTCTTATATGCGCGTGTTTATCTTTGCTTGGAAATCATCCATGTAAACAATCACAGACTATCATCACTGTCTTTTACGTATGTTGCTTAATTTGTTGTACAGTAATTGACATCTTTGATAATGGCTTATGTAAGCCGAAAGCTTAGATTGGATAAAAAAATATGGAACAATATTGTGATTTTCTTTCTTCGTTTAATGATAATGTTATTAAGCTTATCAGACGTTATGGAAAGAATTTACATAAAATAAATCGACAACAGTTGTCTATATTATTTAATGAAACATGTATGAATGAAAAATGCTGCCTAAATACACACACAAATATATATATATATATATATATATATATATATATATATATATATATATATATAGTAATGTAATGAACGGTTTGGTAATCCGTGTGGATAATTCCAAAGAGGATGTAATCCAGAGAGCTCAATGTAACACCAGTCAGTCAGTTATGTGGCATACGTGAGACACGCTTAGGCGATCATGGATCTTTCGATACATGACTGACGAGGCATATTTTTCCCTGCAGTAGATTGACATTTCTTTCTGCGGTCGACCAATTGCCATACAAGGCTATAGAATGTGAATGTAATGGATTCGACTCGAATTCAAACTCGTCTCTCTGATTCCTCAATTCGAGCCGCTAAGAGCAAATATTAATCAAATAATTAACAGACAGAGACATAAAACCTTATTATCTCTTTCTTAATTATATATATATATATATATATATATATATATATATATATATATATAGTCTTCCACTGAAATACTGTTTCGCCATATCACAGCGCCTCAGTTTAGGTAGACGTCCGATTGCTTCAATCCGGGATCGATATCCGACTGATTTGACATCAGTCAGATATCTTAACACAGATGCAAACGAATTGCATTAAAGTTCGGCAAATGGCAAGTTCACCTACGAGATAGGGTTGTGCATGAGTAGGCAATGAAAGGATGTAATTTTTTCTCCACTATGGAGTGGTTTCAAGCTAACGGAATCAATGTTATAGTTTGGTCTGCCCCATCGTCCGATCTCAATCCTATTGAGAAACTTTGGTCAATATTGGTTAGACGAGTATACAAGAATGGACATCAATTTAATTACATAGAAGAGCTCAAAAGTGAAATTTTGAAAGCCTGGGATTCAATTCTATGAAAAGATTGTTTGAATTTATAGCCAATCACGGAAAACAAACTAAATATTAATTTCTATAATTTTTTTAGTTTTTGTCACTTTTGTAATAAAATCTTTTTAATGGTCTTATAATTATGCAGTAATCGTTTTAAGAGATTTTGAATAATTTTACAATAACTGATTTTCTACTCAAAATAATTATTTGAAACTTTCAGATTATTAATTCTATATAATAATATACAAAATACTAAAAAAATTAGCTCAATTGCTAATGTTTAAAGATCAAATTCAGGTGACCTTATAATAATATAATAACATCTCAAAATGGACATTATAATTTAGCCTAATAAAATAAAAATAGATTCCAATCATAAACATGATTACCACACAGTTATTCATATATACAGCTACGCATGTATATATGTATATATAAATGAGGCACGCGGGCACCTCCATGCAGTGTAATGGTTAGCAAGCTTGTCTCGCTAGAACAATTACGACTGAGTTGTGAGTTCTATCCTCATTGGGTGCCTCATACTTTCGGCTTTATGCCACATCTAAGCTACGCTTGGAAAATCACTATATAGGATAGCGGCTTGGATTGAGAAATCAGAGAGCCGAGTTCGAATTCCAGTCGCATCCATTACATTCACTTACGTGCTAATACCCTTGGGAAAGGTGTGAATCCACTGCTTCTCCCTCCAGCTATGAGTAAATAGCAGGACAGACTGGGTTCTATAGCCCTGGATGGCAACTGGTCTAGGAAAAGGACAACTCTGAATTCAAAACCTGCGGAGGGTTGTTTGGGGACCTTGTGGCACGTACTGCACCAGGTCTCTGTGTTCGGCTCTTTAAAAAGTGTGGATGATCCTGCACGAAACCTTCACCACTATAATTAAATCTCATGTGCTGTCGGTTTTCTAGGAACTGATCTGCTTGACCTTCATACGTCTACGGGAGAATCGAGTATATCTTACTTATTATAAAACGCAGATTGTGTGTGTGTGTCTGTATGTTTATATATTGGATCGGATTTCCTACATTTTTCAACCGATTTAAACAAAACTTCACAGGACTACGTAAAATTACCTTGCGGTGGTTCTGACAGCGCCAAAAATTGGAAAAACACAATTGTTTTTGCATGAAATCAATTTGAAAACACGTTTAGGACGCGTCACAAGAATGAATGGGGGACAACTCATATCGAGTTATACTTATTATAAAACCCAGGTTGTGTGTCTGTTCGTTTATATATGGGATCGGATTTCCTACATTTTTCAACCGACTTCAACAAAACTTCACTTTTTTGGGGCAGGAAGTGTTTTTATTGTCTTGCACACTTTTTTTTTTTATTTTTACATTCAGAATGAAAAAAATTCCATTTACAAGATAATTGTTTATAATAAAATTCTATTCAATAGATAGACTCATAACGATTGAAAAGAATGTTTTGTTTTAAGTTAGGGTTTGACCAATTTGTTAAAAAAAAGACATGCGTGTTCGTCAACCTTAAACAATAATCTTTGTCAATTTTATTTTTCAGTCTTTATAATGATCAGTACTTGATCTATCTCTTACTGTTACATCCCAGGCAACGCCGGGATCTACTGCTATATATATATATATATATATATATATATATATATATATATATATATATATATATATATATTTAGGCAGCAATCCTTCCTTTATGCATGTTTCATTAAAAACGACAGACAAGGTACTACGGTTGAGCTTTTTATTTAATTTTTCTTGTGTTCTGACAAGAGCTTTCTTTTCTGGACAAAGAGTGTGTAAGAACTGTCTGAATGTTCTGTATTTCCGAGCGCTTTCGGCTATATCTTTAGCCATTATCAAGGATGATTCAGTATCAGCTTACTAGAGTGTGTGTTCTGTGTATGTTCAGTGTGTGGTAATGATGTTTTAGTTTCCGAATACGGTTAGCACATTGTGGCTTTGTTCATAGTTAATATTGTTAAGAGTTGGCTTTTCTTTTTTTTTATTAGAGCTTCCATTATTTTTAGTCTTTTTTTTGCAAGTGGATGCAGTTAATATATTTGTGTTTTCTACTAGTATGTTCCTAATAGTGTCGGGTAAATCTGAGTGTGTGTTTAAATGTGTTCTGATGGAACTGTGATCAGATAGGTGTAATGTAAGACGTCTAGATAAACATGTGGTTGTGTAGCCGATGTAATTATTTATGAGTCCGGTTTGGTGAGGAACGCAGTTCCTTAAAGAACATTTGAACTCATAGATAATGTTTGTTCTTTTAATTTTGACTTAGTTGGTGTGTTGTTGTTTTTTTGAGGATAAGGTTGGCCGTCTTAAATTTTTTTATAATAGATAATAAGTTTGATTTTTTTATTAGGATCAATAGGAGTAGTATATTTCTTTATAATATGTCTTAGAGAAGATTCATCTTGTTTGTAATTAATATGCATTTGGTTTTTTGTAATAAATGTGTATGTGATTTTTAGTTGTGTGTTCGCTATCGTTATTACTTGCTTTTGGGGAGGAATAGTCTAATTTGTTGGTCTATAAGGTAGTTAGGGAAACCGTTGTTAATTAGTGTTTGTTTAACGTTGTTAAGTTCTTTGAGAAAGAGTAGTCGAGAGGATGAGTTCTGGTGGGCTCTATTTAGAAAATTTTTTACTACGGCTATTTTTGTACCTAAGTGGGCATTCGCTTTTTGAAATTAAGGTGGCACAAGTTTTTGCTGGTGGTTTTTTGTATAATGATGTAATGAAAGTGTTATTGTTGTGTTCGACGAGGATATCTAAGAATGGTAGTTTGTTTTTTTGGCTAAGTTCATATGTAAAATTAAGGACGGAGTTTTTCTCACATGTGATCTTAAGTGTCTCTATTTCTTTAATGTTATCAGCTAGAATGAAGATATCGTCTACGTAGCGAACATAGATTTTCGGTTTGTGGACCTGTGTAAATATAGTATTTTCTACGTAGGACATATAATAGTTGGAGAAGCATGGACCCAGTGGATTTCCCATACTAACACCATTAGTTTGGGTATAAATATTGCCATTCGGACAGTTCTTACACACTCTTTGTCCTGAAAAGAAAGCTCTTGTCAGAACACAAGAAAAATTAAATAAAAAGCTCAACCGTAGTACCTTGTCTGTCGTTTTAATGAAACATGCATATATATATATATATATATATATATATATATATATATATATATAGTTAAAAAATAACTGTGTGTCTGTTTTTGTAAACAACTGATTTCCCATTTGTAATGTTGTACAGGATATGGCAATGCACAATAGGGTACGATGGATAAATTGTCGTCTAAATTACGCAAAAATTAAAATAACACTGACATCTCATTTTAATGGAATATTTACCAACATTATTCAAAAATACCATGAAATACTAAAGAAGAAATTTATTCAATATA